TTCTTATACTGTTTTCTTAGACCTTGTAATGCTTTTTCTATCATAACTGTTCTATCATCTTTACTGTGACTAGGAGAGAAGCCTGCACAAGAATTCCAATGTGTGTAAACTGCTAGTATGCACAAATGGCAAATAAAGATCTATCTATCTATATAACTCATCTGCTTTATTCATTCATCCATTATCTTCCACTTGTTCTGAAGTCAGGTCGTAGAGGCAGCAACTTGAGCAGGGAGGTCCAGACCTCTCTCTCCACAAGTACCTCTCCTGGGATGATGCCAAGACATATCCAGGTCAGCTCAGTGTCTCTCCAGCACATAATAATAATAATAATAATAATAATAATAATAATGCATTAGTTTTATATAGCGCTTTTCGAGACCCTCAAAGACGCTTTACAATTTTCATGCATCATTCGTTCACACTCACATTCACACACTGATGGCAGTAAGCTACACTGTAGCCACAGCTGTCCTGGGGCAGACTGACAGAGGCGGGGCTGCCATGCTGCGCCACCGGCCCCTCTGACCACCATCAGTAGGCAAGGTGGGTGAAGTGTCTTGCACAAGGACACAACGGCATGTAAGCATGGCGGGGAGACAAACCTGTGACTTGCGGGTCCCAAAGCCGGCTGCTCTACCACTACACCACAGCCGCCTGTATCCTGGGCCTTCTTCGGGGTCTCCTCCCAGTCATCCCCAACAGAGGTTTTTCGAACATGTTTGTGACAGACGAACCGTGACTAGTACAGTGCAGGTCAATGAGGCTGTTCTTCCCAACAGTGTGACCTACATGGGCATTGAAGTCCCCCAGAAAAACAAAGGAATCCCCAGCTGGAGCATGCACCTTTCAACACCCCCGTTAAGGACTACAAAAAAGCCAAGAGTAGACCCACACCAGCTTGGCTCCTTCTCACCAAGGGCAACTCCAGAGTAGAATACGGTTCAACCCCTCTTGAAGAGATCGGTTCCAGAGCCCATGCTGTGCATCAAGGTGAGTCCAGCTATATCTAGTCAGTACCTCTCAACCTCACGGACCAGCTCAGGCTCTTTGCCCACCAGAGTTCATGTTCCATGTCCTAAGAGCCAGCTTTGGTAAGCCAGGGTCAGAGCGCCAAGGCTGACCAATTGCATCATGCACCTGACTCTTATGGCTCTTCCTGCAGGTGGTGGGCCCACAGGAAAGCACACCCACTTGTCTCATTCTAGCTGAGTCCAAATGGACCCCATGTGAAGAAAGCCGGTCACAAGGCACTCGCGGACAAGGCCCCTCCCCCAGGCTTGATTCTAGGTTGGGGCCCCGGTATCCCATGTCCAAGCAAGGGACATTGAGCTCCTTGCTTTCATCCATCCATAAATATTTTGAATCACTCTTTGTCTGGCCTGTCACCTAGGACCAATCTGCCTTGGTAGACACTTTCAGGTTAGRCCCTAGAATTATTCATGTGCACAAACCTGTCCACCACAAGAAGTTGTCGATTCAAGGAGGCGCTTCCTAGAACTTATTCTAAACCATTAACATAAAAACCAGCTCCCAGAGAATGAGATAAGGAACCAAAATCGAATGTCTCGTTTGTTTAACTGATGACCTTTTAGGTTTGGGGCAACYCACACAACCCTTTCGGGAAACACAAACTATTATGGTTTCTCAAAAAGTAATATTAAAATAGAAAAATCAACAAAAGCACTACTGTTTGTTAAGCACTGACATCACTGCATGCCTAGTGATTCACACGGGCCGCTCTCTTTTATCCATCATATGGTTGGCTGACTCAATAAATGCTCTACAACAAGCTTTCCCAAACCTGCGAGCTGCTTTGTGGTGGAGTACCACTCAGTGGTGACACCATCTATTGTCACAGCCTGTATCACGTTATTCACGCCCCGGTGCAGACGGTACAATCTTTTAATTACAGTATATGAGAGATAGATGATGACTTATCACAGGCCCTTACACCACATCAAATGGCTCTTCAGTGAGGGCTCTCTCTGGATACTCAAACTCCTTTATCAGTGTTGGGTGCTTATAAAAGCGGAGGCTTTTTGCTGCCTTATGTGTCGCTGCGCTGCACTTTGAGGCTCGAGTCTGAAAGCACAATTACAGCACATTTATTTCATTAGRGGTTTGTGGCTGACAAAGAAAAAAGGTTAGCAATTTAAGCCCAAGCCCCACTAAAAATACAACTATTTCCAGTTTGAACTGCAACAGAACTGCTTCCTCAAATCTGATTTTCCACAAACATTCAGCAGACTTTTTACCTTCTTCTTTTCACACAGAGGCAGCAAAACAGCTCAGATGGAAATCACACGGTCATTTTGCCTTTTTTTTTTCTGCCGAGTGACATTTAAAATCGGAGGGGGGAGAAACTTGTTTCGACATCCTCATAAATCTGGATTCAAGAAGTTGTGGTTTTTACATAACTGATAGTTTTTTTTRTCCTCAGGCTTTAGTCATTCTTCAGCGAGTGTGAAGTTTTCAGGAGTGTTTGTAGTTAGGGCAAGAGTTTTGACGAAAGATTAGAAAAGAGAACAGGGAGGAGGACGTGAGAGGTGTTGACGTTTTTTTATTATTCTTAGTAGACCAGTAATGCAACCTGTCATGAAGGAAATATTGTTGACTTTCATGCTAATGTTTACCGTCAGTAAGGGTCATGCTTTGTAAATAGTGCAAGAAAGTGAGCTCTTGCAAGATGTGTTGACTCTTTCAGTATGTGTTGGGGATGACTCGCAGCTACTACTACCCCAACTTTTACCTCAATATCTGTAAAATCGTAACCATAATTGTGATTTTGAAATAAGTCGGCAGTGGCGGCCATCTTGACTTGGGTTTCAGAAGTTAATCAGATGTAGCAGTACATCCAATGAATAGTTTTCATTAAATTCCATCCACTGGTTCATGATACATTTTGCTCACACAATTACACACGCAAAAGAAAAAGTACATTATTTTTGCTTTAAGAGGGCAACAATAATATAAAAAAAAACTTTCAGTCCTTTAAATTAGGGTTATGTGGAGCCATCTCCTCTGAACCTCACTACAAAATATCCCAATTATCCCATTAGACTTCTATGATTTTAAAATACCACTTAAAACCCATGCGTCACAATGCACATCAGCAACTGTTGAGTATTTCATTGCATAAACAGTCACAACTATAATATGTAACACTTATTGACCCAGTCACAACTATAATATGTAACACTTATTGACCCAGGGGCCAGAGATTCTAAATAAACTGTGGGATTCGTACCGACAGCCATAAGTCAGCATGTGAAACCTGTGACTGCGAAATTAAGAGTACGGCCCGGTTTTCCACAGAGAGAARGGGAAAATACTTTTCCTGGCTTTGTTGCTGAAGCTTGAAGTCATCACTCATAAAAGCAGCCATGTCCTGCCAGCACATTTAAATGAAGCCACGGTGGATTCCGTGTAATTCTATAACCTATTTGTGACGAGGCTTTAAACAATTACAAGAGCTGCAACCTAATGCCATAAACWCAAACAGGAAAAACATAAATACTCTGAAGTTATAAAGAAGTAGCTGGGTGATAAATTTAGCATCAGTTTTTCTGCGAAATTGTTTGCTGAGAACATAAAGAAGAATCTGCTGAATCAAAAAAAATGCTTATTTGCTGCCATCAAGTGGTGGCATGGATCACTGCATTATTTATAATTAAATGTTAAACGATCACCAACACAAAACCACAACACAATACTCCAAAAAATAAAAACGTACCCTTTGGAAGTAATTCCAAATAAATTTATTGTTGGTTTTATCCACTGTACAAAGAAAGAATGGAAACCCCTGGACACTTGACGGGTCTGAGCTGGAATCCCAGAGGGACAGAACCATGTTCACTTTCAGTATTCAGGCAGAAGGCAAGCAGCCGTGAGGTCGCACCACGGGTCTACTCCAGAGCTTTGACGATGGCCTCGTTGGCCTCGATGCTGATCTTAACTTCTGCCTTCGCCGCCTCGTCATTTGTGCTGAGCAGGTCAGACTGGGCTTTCTCCAGGTTGGCCCTGGCTGCCTAAAAGTGAATTAAACATAAAAAAATAACGTGACAAAGATAATACTTGATATTTTTGCTTATTTGTCCACGAATGTTGATTTTTTTTTATTGCTACGCTCCAGAATTACAATATTTGACATTAAATTTGTCACGAACTCTCAGTCCAAAAAGCTTTGAGGCTAAAGCGGATGTAAAAGCTGGAGGAGCCAAAATGAGGCTAAAGATGAACGGAGAAAATCCCTCAGTCTCTTTGCTCAGAAAGCTTCATTTGTCACAGTCGCGATTAGACACGAGAAATGCCAAACATAGCTGGAAGTTAAAGGTCTCTCAGTGGGGATTTGGCACATCTGCTATAACTCAACAGTGACTGACCTTTCTCTCCTTATTATCAATGTGGGACCATGTCCTTTGTTACTACTGAGCAGTGGGGAGGGGGGGGGTAGCATTTACTGCTATGAAGTGAACTTGACAGAGGCAATGCCCAAAGATGGATAGATTTGTGTATGAAATTCTAGCGTTATACGATGCTAATTGTGTTAGCTTTTCTATGGAGATTTTAATGTTAATTTAGCATCTAAAGAAATTGTTTAGCAACTTGGGATCTATAAGTTTTTTTAAACACACTATGAATGCTTTATTAGACATAAAATATACAAACTGGTGTTTACGTAAAACAGTCGATTCAATCAATCTTAGATTGATTTCATTTAAATTTGAGAATATGGATTCATAGGGTGTGAGATTGATTTCTCCTCATGGCGTCTTGTGTGTGATGAAGCTGAGGCGCATTTCTATATTTTGTCTCACTTCTGCCTTGCCGCATGTTTAAATCTAGTTGACGTTCAGTGCTAACGTTAGCTTCTGACAACAAGCTGTCTGTGGCAAAAACAAAACACAACAAACAAAAACAAAACTAAGGAATCACTAACATTAACCGCCGACTCTCCTCAGATCGTAAAGGTAACAGAGACCATGGCAACTTTTGTTTGCAAAGATTAGCGCTCGTACGCGGCAGCAGAAAACGAAGGCTTCGAGCGGCTCGTTCAGGTGCTCCAAGCAAAACTACAGTTTGTCAGCATCTGACTGAAACTGTTCTCCCCGGCATGTATGAATGTGTGAAAGATGACGTTCTAACAAAATCCTTTAGTTTTGTTGTTATCACTATTATTTTTAAACTTTAAAGGGGCAATATCATGTAAAAATCAACTTTTTTGAGTTTTATATCATGTTATAATGTTATAC